TTAGTCGTAGGAGATTCCTGACAATGCCACCCTTCTTGAATTATTCTTTCACAGTCTTCGCCAGTTGTCCATTGGTCCTCAAATTGGAAACGAAATGTACTATGACGACGCCAAACATCAACACTAGGTCGTGAGTCAGGGAGGAGAAAAATTGGGTAATGATCAGAAGAATATGCTGAAATATGGTAGATGGTGAAATTGCCCCACTGGTGAAGCAAGGCTAAATTACCAAATCCTCTGTCTAATTGAGCTTGAACACTGACGTCATCTTTGCGGTTGTTCATCCAAGTAAAAGGATAACCCACAAAATCAAATGATTATAGATTACAGTCATCAATTACCTGTTGAAAATCTTCAATTTGACTGATAGAGCAAAGACTAGGACCACTTTTTTCGTTCACAGACAGAATCTTATTGAAGTCAACACAACACATCCATGGACCAATATCCACCTGACTCAAATGGTGAAGAAGCTCCCAAGAATGAATCCATCGAGTGAGGTCAGGATAGCCATAGAACCCAATAATTCAAGTAACAAAGGAATTAGGAAAGGTAACCCGAGCATCAATATGTCCCGAAGAGGATGAGAGCAACAGAACCTTTAAATCAGTCTTCCAAAGAATCCAAAGACCACTAAAGAGCCCTTCACTGGGAACACAGAGGACTCCACCTACACTAAGTCTTCAGACCTAGCCTCTCATCTATAGTAGTCATACGAGTCTCAGTAAGGAAAACAATATATGGTGTTTTGTCCTGTAAGAGGTTTCTGAGATCATGGAACGTACGATGGTTGCTAAGCCCCCGCACGTTCCAACTTAACACAAACATAGCAGATACTAGAATTTCCTCTTTAACCACTGAGCCAAATGGAACAAAAAAACCACAACATGCGAAGGAGAATGACAGAGATAGGAGAGCAAAAATCCAAGGAATCTCCCCAACACTAGCACTCTTAGGAAAACATCGACAAAGACCTAGAATCACAAACACTGAAACTAGCAGGTGGGTGGCCCGAGGGAGACATAAGGGCAGAGATACCATACCAAAACCAATAAAATCCCAATGGACCGGTCGATGAGCAACTACGATGAGCCCGAGTGGAGAAGGGAGATACAAAACTAGTCGCTCGTGGCGAGACGTAAGGCGAGAAGGTGAGACAATGACACACCTATCGCAGACAAAAGGGGAGTGACGACGGCTGGATGCGTGACGGCGGCGACTGGCCTTGAGGGGGAACCTTAGATATGACATGCGAGTCTCCTCACTTAGCTAGAGAGTGATCCCGAGCTTTTTTTTTTCTTTCCAATAACCACTTTTGTGTTTATGATTTACTTAACTTGTTTAACTAGTTACAATGTGATAAGCTTAAAGGCATTTTAAAGAGAATAATATACTCTAGAGAGTTCTTCATAGGGAACCAAAAACACATTTTATAGGAACACTACAAGAAAAACAGTTTTTAGTGGCCAACAAATTGGTTACAAAAAGTACTGATTATGGTCACTGAATGAAATTAGTGTCCAAATATTGGTGGTCATTGGGTCGTCATTAGAAGCTTGTCACAAATTCTATTTAGTGACCGTCTTGAAATATTGGTCACTAAAAAAAAAAAAACAATTAGTTACTTCCTTTGTTAGGCCATCTGCAGTCATGAGGGCTAAATGGAGCACCGGGCTATAATTTAGCCCTCCAAAATATTATTATTTTTAGAAGAATAGTGTAAAGCTAAATTTTTTCAAGGCTATATTTTAGGGCCCTTCATATTTTATTTTTTTTAAAGAAAAACTATGGTACAACACTCATACATTTCACTACTATGTATTGTTTAATAAATTAAAATACTATTTGGAGACAATATTTCAAATATAACACATGTAGGTTGATAAGCATTTAACAAGATTTTTTTAATGAGATTTTAATATATTTTAAAAGTAATATATATATATATATATATACAATACTAGAAAAAAGGTCAGTATTGACCAATTTATCAATGATCAAACTGACAATAGTCACAAATGGTGCTATATCATCTTGATTACGTCTCTTTGCCATTCGAAATCACAATATGATTCTCATTCAATTGATTCAGGCTTCAATAGCATCCAATCTGTGACCTTATACCTCACAATTTCGATTTCAACCCAAGATTTCCTCCAATTTGTTAAACCCTAATAGCACAATATACCCTAACTCATTGAGTTGCAAGAAGAAGATTGCTGTGCTTCGTAAAAAAATAAAAATTGCACTTAACGGAATGTCTATAAATTCTAAACTTCGAGAAACACAATGACTAATTTGGGTAAATTTTGGACAAACTACATAAAACCCCACAACCTATAGGGTCATTTATAAGTTCATACTATATTTTAGGGACATTTACCAGTACATACTCAATGTCACGGAAACCTTACAATTTGCCCCCTCCGTTAGCTAAACCGTTAGTGAATCTGTTAAATGCTGACATGGTGAATGTGGGCTCCTTTTTTTATATATATATTTTTTATGACATGGATTCCTGGTGGACAAAATAAATAATAAAAAATTATCTACTTTTTAAAAAGAATTTTAAAATATTAAAATTCACTATTTAAAATTTTAAAAAATGAAAAATATATATCTTTATATATATATATATATATATCTCTCTCTCCCCTCCTCCTACCCCCAGGCCACCCTAACCACCACCCAAGCTTACTCAGGCCACCTATCCCCAAATCTCTCTCCCCTCCCTGACACAGCCCAATCCTCAAATCCCCAACTCATGCACTCGCCATGACCCTCCTCCAATCTGTTCTGGGATATGCGATTTGGGGTTGGGGATGAGTTGGGTTTTCGTTCCTTCCCATCTTCAAGCTTCGGATTCACAACCACCCTGCAGTCATCATTATCCCAGATTTGGTCTCCAAATCCAAACCCTAACATCCCCGATCTTCCCCTAATCTCATGGCCATAGTTGTTAGCAAGACATGAAATTGATTCACTCCAATTGAAAGCAATGAAATGAAAGTCAAGTCCCTAGTGCTACAAGTCAAATAAGATTGAACATAACAAAGATATAAAAAGGTGGAGAACTACCAGAATTTATGGTCGACCAAAGAAGAACATCAAGAAATTTTTCAACTAGAGAAATAGTGAGATGGGTATATGCAAAATCCAAATTTTGAGCACCACAGACTTCAAAAATTTTAGGGGCGGGGGAGGGAGAAAAAACAGATAGAGAAAGGGGGGAGGTGCGTCGTGGGCGGGTGTGGGAGATGCGTCGTCGGGTGAAGGGGAGAGGGTGGGGGATGTTGTTATCGCACAATAGAACTGGGACACATCTAAAGTAAGGGATAAACTTAAACGCGATATAGAAGCAGAAGCCCATATTACTTCTGTTTGTGCTGCCAAGCTAGCTGAACTTACTGCACTTTATGAGGTATAATATATATTTTAGGGAGTTTCACTAAAACACCCAAAATGAGGGTTGAAATTATAAAAAAAACCCAAGCACTATTTAAACATATAAACACACCCAAAACCCATCATTACACACACTCAAAACCTATTTATAAACACACCCAAAAAGTTGACTTTGGGGTTGATTTTGGGTGTGTTTCTATGTTTAAATAGTGCTTGAGTTTTTTTTATAAATACATGTCTAGGATTGGGTTTATTTATAAATTTGTATATATTTTATTCATTGCCTCTTGTGAAATGATTGGGGTGACTGGTAATTTTAAACTAGGGCAAGAATTTGACTAGAAGAAGAAACTAAAAGAGAAGTGGGATGAAGCAGAAACTAAACTAAAAAAGAGATTTGGGTTGCGCTTGTTGGCTGGGTAAGTCGGGTGGGCTGGGGGG